GTAAGAAAATAGTGAAATAGTTGTAGGATGATTACTAAAAAATGTGGTTTTGTGCATCTCTGGCTCTTTTTCATGGACGTCTCTGGCAAAATCATGAATTTAATAAATAAAAAATTAGTATAATTTTATTAATATAATAATCAACATTAAAGTTATGAACAAAAATGTTATGTTTTTCTTAAGGTGAATATTCTTGTAACTAGATATAATGATGGAAATGTAACTCAATACGTAATGTCCTCAACTAATTACGAAGGTCCTTATTAAGTTTTTTTTGAAATTTTATAGGGTGCTCCAAAGCGCCAGATTCATGGGCTATTATACACGAAAAATAAAAAAAGTCACGTAATTTCTAAAAGTTGGTTCGTAAATACAAAAATAAGCATTAAAAATGATGGGACTATACGTAATGTTCCCCAGTTCATTACAGAGGTTCTCATAAAGTTTTTTCATAGAAAGATTTTGGATGCTCCAAGCGCCTAATCCATAGGCTAAATACTACATAGTGTTTTATTGAAAAATTATACCATGAGATATATATTTAAAATCGAAGGAGAATCTGATTTTATTATTTCCTACAAAGTTAGAGAGGAAAATTGATATATTTTTTTCACCCTTTAATAATTAGCTAACTTTTCATTAACGATAGAAACAACATACCAATTTGGGATGGTAAATCATTTTTATTGAGATATGCAAATTGAAATTTAATTCTAAAAATTCAAAGAGTAGATTAAATTTAAAAGAAAAATCAAAACAATTACAACAATATCCTAGATCCTAGTCTCAAGTTTATCAGATCTACATGAAGGATTTTCCTTAGCCAAAGTCACATGACCAACTGACTTGAAATCGTAAGTACATGCATGTTCTTCAGGATACCTATGAACCTTACAAAACATTCCTTCACATCGACAACTAAACCCTGTTAATCCTACTTTCTTCTTGCAAGTCATGCATCTTTGCTTAATCTTCATCGTCGATTCAACGTTCTTAGTTGTACCTTCAGAATCATCATGAAAAATAAGAGAAGATTTCTTGTAAGATACATTCTTGGCCTCTTCTTCTTTAAGAAAAGCTTTGTAACATTGGGAACAAAGGTTGTTATTGCTTGATGTTCCATAAAAACCACAACCCCTTGCACATAGAATTTGATTTTCTACTTTGTCACAAGAAGTCATCATTCTTTAATTTGATTTATTATCACTTTCTTGTACAAATATTTTGATTATTTATTTTTAGAAGAGCAAATTATATATCAATGTTGGTGATTAATAGTGTCTTAGTTGATGAGTGTTGCTTTTGCCTTCGATGGAAATATATAGAGAGAGAGAGCCTAAGGGAAATCAAATTAGGAAATTAACGGATTTTTTTGGTTTTGGTTTGGGAATATAATATTCTTTTCCTAGTTAAAAATAGACAGTTAATAAAAAATAATACTCCTTCCTTTCCTATTTACATGATGTACTTACTAAAAATAGATGTTCTTTAATATTTAATTAGTTTCTAAAAGTAATACTCCTTCCAAGTGTTTTGAATTATAAAATTGTCATATTTGGAAATTATCTAAAAAGAAATTAAGAAATAGTTACAATAATTGAAAATTTTAAAGGCCTATTGAAAAATTGTTGCCTAAATTTTTTTTATTTGACTCTTAAAATTTGAAAAATTGTAGAATTGGTTTCTAAATTAACCGTGCAAAGTTATTAAGGGAAATAGATCTTTATGTCCTTGTTGATTTGGTTTCTGGCGGTCTTCCTTCTGTGGGGAGCATTAAAAATTGGTTTGATCTATAAATTGAATCGAAAAAAATATTATTAGTTTATTAATATTGGTTAACGAATTTTAAATGATTTTGTAATCAAATTTATTCAATTATCAATTTTATAATTATAGTTATTGATTAAACTGATAATCCAATAAGATTATATTAAAATTACTATGTTACTCTTAATTATACAATAATGATTAATATAGCATTTACCAATCTTATTTCTTAATTTTTAGTATTACTTTCGACGTAGACAACACAAACTAGAATCTCTATCTCTATATATATCACGAACTCATGTAAACTCACTCACTATGAATTGAGGCAAATAAAAATTTATAGGGAGCATGACAAGATGAGAATCGTAACTTATAAGTTACTTTTCATAATGAACTTTGTACATTATTTAAGATTGAATAAAGAAATGAAGCGCATATTTTATCATAAAATTCATATTGTCACGATCCAAAAATGGGCGTGATGGCACTCGTCTTATCCCACCAAGACAAGTCAGCCTAACACTCACCCATTACAATAAAATGCGGAAATTTCATAATTAACTCAAAAATACCCCCAAAATCTGATTGTCACGTGTACAAGCCTCTAAAGTATTACAACTGATTCAAAAGAAAAACACAAGTCTCATATGACATTGTTTCTAGAGTAGAACAAGATCATAAACAGGAGTAAGAAGGTCTGTTGAGTTGACAAACAGCTACCTCACAAATCTCCAAGAAGCCTCGAAAAAGAAGAGAATATATCACAAAGGTTTGGGCTAGTGACTTACAAAAAAAATGTAGTAGCAAGGGGTGAGTACCAAACCACGCGGTACTCAGCAAGTAAACCTCTAAACACAAGCTAAGGGGATAGAATACGGGTACTCCTTAAATCCCAACCAAACCTTCACAACTACAACTTGCATAAAATTAGCTCAACCTAACAGTTCACAATTCACATAGCACATATCTCAACAACAACATTCTAACAATCACATATTCTCAACAACAAGTTCAATATTCATCAATTACAACCTCCACGACTACAACCTGCTTAAAACCAGCCCAACCTAACAGTTCATAATTCACATAGCACATAACTCAACAACAACACTCTAACAATTACATATCCTCAAATTCAAGCTCAATATTCACCAATCAAAGTTCCAGAGAAAGGCACTCACAAGATCAGCAAAACACAATATCAAGTTCACTATATGATAATATGTGCAATGCAATGGAATGCAATATTAAGTATAGTGATGCATGTCTGACCTAGTGATACACACCCACTGTCTCTCAATCCGGGATCCATGGGGGACATATCTGTCCATGCATCCATCGCGGCGCGCGATACAACCCTCGGCAATAGGAACCATCGCGGCGCGCGATACATCCCTCAAAATATAGTATCCGTCGCGACGCGTGACACGTCCCTCGAAATATAATATCTATCGCGGCGCTCGATACGTCCCTCGAAATGGTACATCCTCTTATCACATAACACTTATCACAACTATGTCTCAGAACCAATGCAAATGACATCTTCACACAAATAATGAGGAGATGACCATTTTCATAACAATACACAATTCACAACAATACAACTGTGATACAACATCAACAATGATTCAATAAGCCTTTCAACCCAATCTCAAACATCACACATCAACAATTAAACACATTGCCTTTTATTACCCCTTTTTCATCATTGAAAAATAATCAATATGTACAAGTCAACACATCACCAAGTCTCATTACCCCCAAACACATATCACAAGGAAATGCACGAATTCCATACACTTAACAAGGGTTTAGGAATCCACTTGCCTCAAATAGTCGAAACAATTACTCCGAGACTTGAGTCTTCCCTTTCGTTGAACTTCCAACTCAAAGCAATCTATTCACATTAATAATCACAATAAGATTTCGAAACTAACCACACTCAAATTACTACAGGTCTAGCCTAGACCCAAAAACTCACTCAATTTATAATCAAGTTCCTAATCTTGGTGCCAATTAACATGTCAACTCTCATGTTTTCCAAATTTCGAGCCTAAGATTAAGTCATAATTTCTCCATACACTACAACCTTAATAACTTTCATATAATGTAATACACTTTAATTTTTAATAAGTATCCCAATATATCATAACTTGAATAATTATGTGATAATAAAATAAAAATTAATAAATATGAGAACCACTGGTTACGAAACCAGTGATGGAATCGCATAAGCCAAGGAACCCAACTCCTCGCCTGTCACTTCCACACGAGACAGAACTCAATTTCAACTATATGTAGCCAATAATCAAACACTATTTTCTCATTAGCCCTCAATAAATGACCTTGATTTTCCAATTCAAATCATACTTTGCAGTCATTAATGCACTATAAAAGACTATGTTGTTCACCATTATAATAATAACAATAATATACTCCATTCATACGCACTATTGCATATATTTGGCATGGTTACATATTACCTGGACATGAAGTATTCTCCCGTCGGCAGCTGACTCTTTTTCTTTTCTTAAATTATGAACCAAAAATTCTCAATCCTAATAATTTATTTTCCTATATGGGTCAAGTGCTATATGGTATTAACCAAATTATAAACTTAACCCATTTAGCATTAACTAAAATTAGATATTTAACAATTAACCATCAATTAGTTCACTCTAGTTAAATGAATATTCAAAATTTCCAAAAATGACCTTCCGGGTCATTACACATATTAATTGATTACACATATTAATTGATGTATAGTATTAATAAACTAAAGTAATAATTTGATATTTTTAGTTAATGCTAGAACTAAAATTATCCTTCTTTTGGTACGCTCTTCTTAAATGGGTATTAATTTTCAACCTAAATATCATGCAACTTAATAGCAATAGTTTCTATATCTTTAAATTTTACTTCGATTCATACAATTTACATATTGAACATTAATTATAACTTTTTAGAATATTGAAAAAGTAGAGGATATTCTAATGTCTAATGCTACATAGAGTTTTACTGAAAAATTATACCATAATATATAATTTAAAGTCGAAGGAGATTTTGTTATTTCTTACCCTTAAAAAATTAGCCAAATTTACATCAACGATAGCAACAACATAATAATTTGGGATGGTAATTAAAGCATTTTTATTAAGAGATGCAAATTGAAATTTCTACAAAGATAAAATAAAATTTGAAAGCAAATCGAAACAACTACAACAATGTCCTTAGATCCTATTCTCAAGTTTATCATGTCTACATGGAGGATTTTCCTTAGCCAAAGTCACACGACCAAAAGACTTGTAATCGAAAGTACATGCATGTTCTTCAGGATACTTATGAACACTACAAAACATTCCTTTACATCGACAACTAAATCCTATTAATCCAACTTTCTTCTTGCCAGTCATGCATCTTTGCTTAATCCTCATTGTTGAATCAACATTCTCAGTCGTTGTACCTTCATGAAAAGTAAGAGATGATATCTTTTCAGATAAAACTGCAATATTCTTGGCTTCTTCTTCTTTAAGAAATTTTTTTGTAACATTGGGAACAAAGGTTGTGATTGCTTGAAGTTCCATAAAAACCACAACCCCCTGCACATAGAATTGGATTTTCTACTTTGCCACAAGAAGTCATCTTCCTTTAATTTGATTTATTATCACTTTCTTGTACTAATATTTTGATTATTTCTGTTGAGGAGAGCAAATTATATAGAAATTTATACCGTGATTAATAGTCTAGACTAGATTTTTTAAAATTATTTTTTCAACACAGCTGGAGAAGAAAATTGATTCTTATCCGTGGAGAAATTAGCCAAATTTACCTTAAAGATAGCAACAACATATCAATTTGGGATGTATAAAGGAATAGAACCAATTTGGGATTTTTATTAAGAGATGAAATTTCTACAAAGATAAAATAAAATTTGAAAGCAAATCGAAACAACTACAACAATGTCCTTAGATCCTATTCTTAAGTTTATCATGTCTACATGGAGGATTTTCCTTAGCCAAAGTCACACGACCAAAAGACTTGTAATCGAAAGTACATGAATGTTCTTCAGGATACTTATGAACACTACAAAACATTCCTTTACATCGACAACTAAACCCTATTAATCCTACTTTCTTCTTGCAAGTCATGCATCTTTGCTTAATCTTCATTGTCGAATCAACATTCTCAGTCGTTGTACCTTCATGAAAAGTAAGAGATGATATCTTTTCAGATAAAACCACGATATTCTTGGCTTCTTCTTCTTTAAGAAAATCTTTGTAACATTGGGAACAAAGGTTGTGATTGCTTGAAGTTCCATAAAAACCACAACCCCCTGCACATAGAATTGGATTTTCTACTTTGCCACAAGAAGTCATCTTCCTTTAATTTGATTTATTATCACTTTCTTGTACTAATATTTTGATTACTTCTTACTATTAGAGAAAATTATATTAGCTCTTAATTGATGAGCGTTGCTTTTGCCTTTTGGTGGTGATAATATATAGAGAGAAAATTTGGTATTCCTAATGAAAATCAAATTAGGAGTTACCTAATTTTGATTGGCTAACCTTTTTTTTTCTAGCGGTTGTTTGCCCTTTCCTTTTCTTTTGATTTGGTTTCGGTTTTGGGGAATATTAATATTTCCTTTTCCAACACGGATTTTAATAGGAATTATGCTAAATTTTTATAATAAGTTCAGATATGGAATCTTCAAGCGTTTTTTGAAATATAAAATCGTCATATTTGAAAATTATAAAAAAAAAAAAGTGGTCTTAATTTATTTTTAGATAATTTCCAAATATGACAATTTTATAATTCAAAACACTTAAAGATTCCATATATAAACTTATGATTAAAATTTAACATGTTCACTATTAAAATCCGTGTTGGAAAAGTAGGAAACAACTGCTAAAAAAAAGTTAGCCAATCAAAATTAGGTAACTCCTAATTTGATATTCATTATGAATACCAAATTTCTGTCTATAAATTATGGTATTCACTTATTTATATTTAATTAAGATTTGTTAGAGTGATTTCTAGTTTTAGTTTAATTTGGTCTCTATTTTTAAATAGAAATCTATAACTCTATTCATATTTTTGTTTCTTTAATTCATCAATCACTAAAATAATGACTCGAGCTAAGTTAGGTCGATTGGGTTAAATATTTTCTCCGAAAAATATTGAACTCATGAATTACTTAGTAGGATTTACGTGAGATGAACCACTTTCCAATCAGAATCAATTTATGGAGGTGGTTAATCTTTACGCGGAGAACGAACCCTGGCAGATTTTTGAAGGCGCTAACAGCTACCCACGTTACTTCATAACGCTCCAAAATTAAAAAAAATCCAAAATGGAAAAGAGTTGTCCGAACTGTAGGGAAGGGTACGTGGAAGCCACAAGGAAAGGGAAAAGAGGTGTTTGACAACAAATGTAGACTTGTGGGTTACGTGAAAATTTTGAAGTACACCTGCGGCGAAAGTGATAACAAGAATGCTAATGGCGAGTGGCTAATGACGGAATACTCTTTGTATGATGGTTATTTGGGTGCTAGAGAAATTAAGAACAAGGGTTATGTAATATGTAAGATAAAGAAGAAGGGAAAATCTACTAGCGATGAGAATATGAATGACGTTGAAGAACTTATTGATTCATCTTTGCAATTAGAAGACGACATTATTGTAGAGGAAGATGATGTTGGAGATGAAGTACTTGCTAATTTGGACAAAGAAGACGATGGTGATCGTAATAGAAAATGCTGATAGAGTTTGTTATAGAATTTAACAATTAGTATACTCTCAATTTTTCTTGTAATATAATATATATATATATATATATATATATATATATATATATATATCGTACCTTTATTTTCTTTTTGTTTTGTCTATGGAATCAAGTAGATACAAAAAAATTGATTAAGCAAAGATGCATGACTTGCCAGAAGAAACTGGGATTAATAGGATTTAGTGTTGATGTAAAGGAATGTTTTGTAGTGTTCATAGGTATCATGAAGAACATGCATGATCTTTCGATTACAAGTCTGTTGGTCGTGTGACTTTGGCTAAGAAAAATCCTCCATGTAAACGTGATAAACTTGAGACTAGAATCTACGATGTTATTATAATTTTTTTGATCTGCTTTCAAATTTATCTTTTCTTTGTACAGTCAAATTTCTATTTTCATTTCTCAATAAAAATGCTTTAACTACCATCCCAAATGCTTCAAGCCAACTGTTGGTTAGATTTGAATAACTATATATTTCAATGTTCTCAAAGTATATTTGAATTAGGATGTGATCATCTTGTTTTCGATTGAGATGTATAGAGATAAAATTAGGATCGATAACAAGTCATGACACTATCTACTTGTCAATCCTAATTTTATTTCTAAGCATTTCCATTGAAAACAAGATGATCACAATTTAATTTAAAATTACTCTGAAACTATCAAAAAATAAATATTTATATTTTGATCCGTAATAATGAGAATATAGATCGAGATGCCTAGTGAGATTTTTCATTTGAGCACAATAATGATTCTCCTAGTATTGTGGATAATTGTAACTGAATGTAGTGCATTGCGGACAAAGATCTGTTGAATTACTTGAACAATCTCTATTTTTGAATTTTATTAATCAAAAAATTTGTAAAATTCCCAAAATCAATTTATACATCTGAGAAATAAGATGATATTGTTGCCTATATGTTGGGGTTTGACTTTTATTTATTTGCTTCTTCCCGTACTTTACAAAGCGATTATAGAGTTCATATTTACTATTTATTTCATTTTTTGTGATTAGCTTGAAATTTAAAATTTTAAAAATTGTTTTTTTTTGGTAGATAGGCTTCTTTTCGAGTGAGTATTGCTACAAAAGACTAGGTACGTATTGAGTAATCTAGATATAAAATTTAGGGTGATTTGATGTAGTGTTTAGGTGTTTTGGATGAGTCTAATGCTTGAATTCAAGGACGAAGATAAAGTCCGTTTTTGTATAGTAGTATATAATATTATAGTATTATATATGTGTGTATAAACAACTCCTAAAATTTTATATATTGTTGTAAATTAGGTGTATAATATTGTATATCAAATTTATGAACATTGTTATAAATTTTTTTATATATATTTTTATATACCTATGTATTGTTATAAAATATTATAGTGTGGATGTCCATTACACCAAGAAGTTACTCTCACCCATTATCTCCATTACTTTCCTCCATTATGAAGATAACCATAACCTCCATAACCTCCAACTTTATAACCATTATTCTTGTAACCTTTCACTTCCATAACTTCCTCCATTATATTCATGTTAATGTCATGTTTATGACTAACCTTTTGTATGCCTCTATGTTGCACTATAAATAGAGGCATAAGGGTTCATATTGTAGACACTTGAAGATTTGGTGACACTTGAAAGAAAGAAAGTTATCTCATATTATTCATCTTGTCTTATATTCTTCTTGTCTTCATCTTTATATTTGTTCTTTTGTTCTTAAGTTTTACAATACGTTATCAGCTCGATTATTCTACTATTGAAGGATTGAAGCAAAGTAAATATAAAGAAGGTAAAAATATTTGTGTTTATTTTCCTCTCAGAAACAAGGTAAATTACTATATAATCTATTTTATATTTTACTTTTGATTATTCATCATTAGTTTTCTTACCATCTCAAAATTATATGAGTCTAACAATTTGATCACTTATATATTTTAAAAGTAAAATTATTTTTGTAAGTTAATAATTTGTAAAGAAATTGTTCTTTATGATCTTGTTTTATTAAAAGATAAGTTATTGAGTTATGTGGCATATACATACTGATTAGATCGTCATTATTGGTTACTTTTGCACCTCTTGATTTTTCTTTATATAAACATTTACTTGTTGAGTTATTAATATATTATTTGTACTAACAAAGTTTGTTTTGTGGCTATTTTAAAATGGTTAGTATATTATGTTAATCTTCATAACAATGTTGAGAGGGACTATTAAAATGTTTTAATTTATTTTAACTTGGCACTTTTATATGGTTCCAGCATGTTGCTCTAATTAATTAGTTTTGTTCATTTTTAATCAATTTTAAGTCAAATTCAGATTATATTTATGGTATTCAATATTGTTTTTTGGTAATGCATTTGGTTTATTAAGACATTGATTGAGGGTAAGACGGTGAATTCAAGTTTCACCGCACCAAGTGGGTAAGACATCGAGTAAAGTCTCGGTGCACCATGATAATAACAAGTTGGGTTCAAGTCCCATTGATTTATGACCAAAGGCGTCTTTATATGGGTAAGACATTGGGTTTAAGTCCTAATGCACTATAGTGATGATATAATGATGACTAACATAAAGTTGTATACTTCTGACGGAAAGTCATGAAATATGCCCAATTAATTTTCTCCATTCTCTTATGTGAATGTGGTAACAATGTATAATATGTCTGAAAAATGACAAGTGGTTGAATGTATGAATATGGGTGTGGTAAAATGTTAATGGTCATCATTGTGATAATTAAAAGGAAGAACATTATGGGTTCTTAAGATGGTCCTTCAAATGTGAAGGTAATTTTGTCTATCAAAGTGGTATGAAAGGTTATTGGGCACATTGTCTCTTAAGATGGTCCTTCAAATGTGGATGTAATTTTTATCCATCAAAGTGGTATGAAAAGATATTGGGCACATTGTTGTTGATGCAAGCCAATTTGAAAAGTTTTGTAAATCCTCCATCAAAACAAAGGAATACAAAATGGTAGTATATTTGGTACATTTGACCTCTTAAAGTGATGTTGAGGTGAGTCACATAAATGTGATAATGCCAAAACATGACAATGTGTTTCTGATAAAAACTTATGCAGCATGTACAAATGGTTATGGTTCATTTCTCGAAGAGAATGTGACTTGTGTTCGTATGAATAAGGGCATGTTCATGTATGGTTGGATGAATGTCACATCTCACCTCTACGGGAGGTTTGAGATATTGAAAAAAATAACATATTTTGACATAAATGGTCATTTTGGTCATATACTTTGAGTACTACACAAATATTGTTGTATGTTTTATCATGAACTATTGGAGACAAAAGAAAGAAATAATTTTTTTCTATAAAGGTTGTGGTCATGACCAAAATAAATGTTGTGCGGTAACACAAATTTGTCATTGGTTGTCAAGAAATAAATCTTGCATGTAATAATTTTAATCATGACAATAATGATAATTTTCTCCTTGAAGGAGATGATCGCCATAAGAATTGTGTTGTAAAATTTGTGGCAGTACACACATTTAATTAAGAGTTTCGGAAGAACTAATTTGTTACTATTCAGAAATGAAAATAGTTCATAATATTGAGGTTGTAGTAAGTCTCAAAAGAAA